GGGGGGGGGACACACACTGGGCCGGCTATTGGGGGTCACTGCAGGGCCCAAGTGGGGACCAAATGGGGGATCAGGTCTCACAGCAGGCTTTGGAAGGTGCGTTCCTGGTAGGTCTGGTTGGTGACATAAGGTAGGTAGACCCGGCGGAAGTTGGGGGCGTGGTTCAGGACCACATCACACACTTGGAAGGTGAAGATGTTGTTCTCGAAGTTCTCTTCCAGGTCAGAAAGGAACCTGCACAGAGTTGAAACAAGTCTCGTGAGACCGGTGGGTCTCAAGTGAGGAGTCGGCTGACGCCTGCTGCAGCTTGAGCTTGGAACTTCTCTCCGTTAGTCAATAACATCTGCTGACGGTTCTTTGCTCTAGAGCCCTTGTCGCGCACCAGGGCTCCCTCTGCCGCTACTTTGCCCCTGATCTAGGTCTCTGGTTCTAATATTCCATGTCTTGTCCTTCTTTTCATCTTGTTCTGGTTTTCTGATCGTCAGCTGTTTCCCACCTCATCTCCTGGAGAAGGGAATGGTTACCCACTCCAGTATTCTTGCCTGGGAAATCCCATGGACAGAGGAGCCTGGAAGGCTACCATCCTTGAGGTCACAGAGTTGGACATGATTGAACACGCATGCGCCTCATCTCCAACGCTGTGCACGCCCCCGGGACAGCCAAAACCTCCATCCAGGAAGCATTTCTTACTTATTTATCCATTACTGTTCCCATCCACCTGCACTTCTTCTCCTCTCCTTGCTCTCCCTATCCCTATGGCCTCTGGGAGTCATGCAGGGAGCAATGAGAGGGCTCTGAAAACGGAAAAACCCAATGAGAGGTTTACAGGCTAAGAGCGTGAGGCTGAGTGAGTGGTCTATGGAAGAAGGGAACGCTCACATGGTGCTGACGTCACGCACATCCTGCAAACGAGAGAAGAGCCATTGGTGATCCTGGTTGGAAAGGGTGGCCCGGAGCTGCTCTGAATGTTGGAAGTGATCCACAGCTATATGCAAGCTGCGCAGGTAGGAAGCCTCTGACACAATCAGCTCAAATTTGGCCTAAGAGATTAGGGAGGAGGAAGACTAATTAGAAACATTTATTGAATCCCCAGCGCATGTTAGCCACTGTGTAATATTTTAGGGATAGAGTGGTATGCATGACACATCCTATTAGAGCTCAAAGTCAATATCAGAGTCCAACCTGATCTCAGGAGACAGAACATTTCAGGCTGAGTGAAAGACATATGCAGACTCTCAGAGGTGGAAGAGAAAATGAGGCTTTCAGGAAACTCAGATACACTGAGTATCATGGAAAGCAAGGGTATCAAAGGAGAGGAAGCTGGCAAGGCAAACAGTGAGGAGGTCTGAGGATTGTCTAAACAAGGTAAAACATGACAATGGGGAAATGAGAAGAGCCTTTATGTAGGGGGATAACTTGGTCTAATTTGTTTTATATAAAGATATATCTGAGCACACTGTGGGGAAAATATTAAAAGGGGCAAGAAAGATACACGAGGAAACCATGATAGTAATTCCAGAGGAGAGATGAAGGCCTAAATAGCCATGAGGATGGAGAGATATAAGCCAATTTCATAGTGATATAGGAGGGAGATTTGGAAGCACTTGGTTATCTGCTAGAAATAGAAGCTGAAAGAACAAGAAGAGTCACAGCTAATGCCTGTTTTTCAGTTTGGTAACTGGGGCTTCCCTGGTGGCTCAGAGGGTAAAGATCTGCTTTCAGTGCAGGAGACCTGGGTTTGAGCCCTGGGTCGGGAAGATCCCCTGGAGAAGGAAAGGGCTACCCACTCCAGTATTCTTGTCTGGGAAGTCCCATGGACAGAGGAGCCTGGTGGGCTATAGTCCATGGGGTTGCCAAGAGTAGGACACGGCTGGGAGACTAACACCCTTTAACTGGGTGAGTGATAGAGTTCCTAAATGAACTAGAGATCTCTGGAAGAGGAATAGATTCAGGCGATGAAGGTAAGTTGGGGTTTGAGGAGCAATGGGAGGAAGCAGGATATTTGAGGTTTACATGGTGCAATTGTGGTTTAATGGAAATAGCCCAATTGTTGGGAAGTTCCAGCAGGAGGCACAATGACTCACAGCCCTGTTCTCTAGCTGGGCTGGTCAAGTTCATCACCCAGGCATGCAGCTTCAAGACAGATGCATGGACAGAAAAGAGAAAGAGCACACACCTGGGAGATGACGTGGATAACTAACGACACAGCTGGAGGCCACTCACACACAACCCTGAACCAGGACACTGANATCCCTGGGTTGGGAAGATCCTCTGGAGAAGGAACACTCCAATATTCTTGCCTGGGAAATCCCATGGACAGAGGAGCCTGGCAGGCTACAGTCCATGGACTTGCAAAGAGTTGGATACAACTTAGTGACTAAACAATAACAATGTACCAGACACCATGCTCAAAGTTATATGAGAGTTGTTTCATTTAAACCACAAAGCAATTCTGAAAAGTAGTCATTACCATCCTTGATTTTTAGATGAGGAAAGAGATTTAGTCAAGTTACATAACTTAAGGTTGCGCTGCTAATAAATGATAAATACAGGATTCAAACTCAGGTCTGACTTGAAACTAAATAGTAAATATTTTGTATATAGTGTCAGGAAATGGTCTAACCTCATTATTTTACATGGAGCTGTCCAGTTTTCCTAGCACCACTTATGAAGACACCACTTATGTCTTTACTCCATTACATAGACTTGCCTCCTTTGTCATAGATTAATAGACCATAAAATAAAGGAATACAGTGACAGACTTTATTTTCTCGGGCTCCAAAATCACTGCTGATGATGACTGCAGCCATAAAATTAAAAGGTGCTTGTTCCTTGGAAGAAAAGCTATGACAAAGGTAGACAGCAAATTAAAAAGCAGAGACGTCACTTTGCTGACAAAGGTCCGTCTAGTCAAAGGTATAGTTTCTCCAACAGTCATGTATGGATGTGAGAGTTGGACCATAAAGAAGGTTGAGCACTGAGGAATTGATGCTTTTGAACTGTGGTGTTGGAGAAGACTCTTGAGAGTCCCTTAGACCGCAAGAAGGTCAAACCAGTCAATCCTAAAGGGAAACAGTCCTGAATATTCATTGGAAGGACTGATGCTGAAGCTAAAGATCCAATACTTTGGCTACATGATGCAAAGAGCCGGCTCACTGGAAAAGACCCTGATGCTGGGAAGGATTGAGGGCAGGAGGAGAAGGGGAAAACAGGATGAGATGGTTGGATGGCATCACTGACTCAATGGACATGAGTTTGAGTAAACTCCAGGGGATAGCGAAGGACAGGGAAGCCTGGCAGGCTGCAGTTCATGGGGTCACAAAGAGTCCAACACAACTGAGCAACTGAACAACAACAACAAATAGACCATAAGTGGATGCATTCATTTCTGGGCTCTCTGCTCTGCTACATTGATCTATGTATCTGTTTTAGTGCCAGTATAATATTAATTACTGAAACTTTGTACTATAGTCTGAAATCAAGGAGCATGACACCTCTAGTTTATTCTTTTTTCCTCAAAATTCCTTTGCAATTTGGGGTCTTTTGTGGTTCCACATAAATTTTAGGGTTATTTATTTTAGTTTGGTGAAAAATGTCATGGGTTTCTTGATAGGGATTACATTATATACCAGCTCAAAATGAATTAAAGACCTAAATGTAAGACCAGAAACTGTAAAATGCCTAAAAAACATAAGCAGAACACTCTTTGACAAAAATTGTAGCAATATGTTTTTGGATCTGTCACCTGAGGCAAAATAAATAAAAGCAAAGATAAACAAACGAGGCCTAATTAAACCTAAAAGCTTTTGCATAGCAAAGGAAACCACGGACAAACAAAAAGACAACCTATTGCAAATTATGTGATTGATAATGTCTTAACACCCAAAGTACATAAATAGCTCATAAGACTCAATACCAAAAGAGCAAACAACCTGACTAAAAAATAGACAGATGGCCTGAATAGACATTTCTCCAAAGAAGACACACAGATAGCCAACGGGCACACGAAGAAATGCTCAACACTACTAATCATCAGAGAACTGGAAATCAAACTTATAAGAAATCACCTCACACCTGTCAAATGGCCACCATCTAAAAGTCTACAAATAACAATTATCGGCAAAGATTTGAAGAAAAGAGAATCCTAGTACACTATTGGTGAGATTGTAAATAGGTGCAGTCACTATGGAAAACAGTATGGTAGTATCTCAAAAAACTAAAAATAGAACTAACATATGATTCAGGAATTCCACTCCTGGGTATATATCAAAGAAAATGAAAACACTAATTCAAAAAGATTAATGTACCCCAATGTTCATAACCAGCTCTATTTACAAGAGCCAAGATGTTGAAGCAACCTAAGTGTCTATCAACAGATGAATGGATAAAGAAGACGTGGTATACATACATACATACAAATACACACACATACACAATGGAATACTACTTGGCCATAAAAATAATGAAATCATGCCATTTCCAACAACATGGATGGAACTAGAGAGTATTATGCTTAGTGAAATAAGTTAGAAAGAGAAAAACAAATAGTTCATGTTCTGTAGACTACTGTATGTGGAACTTAAAAATAAAACAAGCAAATGTATATAATAAAACAGAAACAGACTCGCATATATGAGAACAACTAGGGTCACCAGTGGGGATAAGGAAGAGGAGAGGGCAAGATAAGGTTTCAGATGAAGAGGTAAACACTATTATATATAAAATAAATAAGCAACAGGATATAATGCACAACACAAGGAAATATAGCCATTATTTTCTAATAATTTTAAATAAAAAATAACCTATAAAAATACTTAACCACTAATATAATACTGTAAATCAACTATACTTCAATAAAAAAAAGTGATAAACATTTTTTGACTGATTACTATGCACTAGGAACTTTTTAAAAATTATTTTTCAATCGAAGTATAGTTGATTTACAATGTTTCAAGTGTACAGCAGAGTACAGAATTCAGTTACACACACACACACACACATATACACAAGATACATACATATATACATACATATTTCTGCTTTATTGGCTATGCCAAAGCCTTTGACTGTGTGGATCACAATAAACTGTGGAAAATTCTGAAAGATATGGGAATACCAGACCACCTGACCTGCCTTTTGAGAAACCTGTATGCAGGTCAGGAAACAACAGTTAGAACTCGACATGGAACAACAGACTGGTTCCAAATAGGAAGAGGAGTACGTCAAGGCTGTATATTGTCACCCTGCTTATTTAACCTATATGCAGAGTACATCACGAGAAACGCTGGGCTGGAAGAAGCACAAGCTGGAGTCAAGGTTGCCAGGAAAAATATCAATAACCTCAGATATGTAGATGACTGCAGAAGAAGGGGACGACAGAGGATGAGGTGGTTGGATGGCATCACCGACTCGATGGACATGAGTTTGGATAAACTCCAGGAGTTGGTGATGGACAGGGAGGCCTGGTGTGCTGCAATTCATGGAGTAGCAAAGACTCGGACATGACTGAGTGACTGAACTGAACTGACTGATACATACATATTCATACACATATATATATATATTCTTTTACAGATTCTTTTCCATTATAGGTTATTACAAAATATTGAATATAGTCCCCGATACACAGTTAGTCCTTGTTGTTTATCAATTTTATATATAGTAGTATGCATCTACTAAACCCAAGCTCCTAATTTATACTCATTCTTGGTAACCATAAATTTGTTTTCTACGTCTGTGAGTCTGTTTGTATACACACCACATCTTCTTTAACCCTTCAGTTGTTAATGGACATATAGGTTGCTTCCATGTCTTAGCCATTGTAAATAGTACTACTGTAAATACTGTAAATAGCATTTATCTTTTTTTATTCTCCCAGGAATTCTTTGCAACCAAGTTTTACAAATGAGGAAACAGAAGCTTGGACAGATCAAGTATTGGGCTAGCCAAAAAGTTTATTTGGATTTTTCCATAACATCTTATGGAAAATCCTGAATGAACTTATTGACCAACTCAATAATTTGGCCCAAGTTAAATAGCTAGCAAATATTAAAGTGGGTCCAGGTCATTTACGCCAGAACCTAAATGCTTAAACATTGTTCCGTAATGCCTTTCCATTGTGCCATATCGTCTTCCCAGGAAGAAAGGTGTAACCCATATTTTAGATTGATTATTAAGATAAGCTCTCCATGTAAAACATATTAATGATAGTAACTTAACATGAGACCAACAGCCTTTACTGTAGTCTTGCTATTGGAAGGAAGGAGCAAGCAGAGCCTGATGGTCATTCAAAAGCCGCTATGAGACCCGTGAACCACAGGACAGCTACAAGGGCCACTCAGCAAGAGAACAGCAAAAAGCCCCTGCATGCATCTTGGTTGAAGAGGAAAACTTCAGTGTAGGCTGAACCTTTGGTTGAAGAGGGAAATGTAAGTCTAGCCTGAAGCTAGACGAACTAGATTGAGCATATACTCCTTCCATCGAATTCAGGGGCACAGTCACTTTGTATGAGCTCAAACCAGTAACACGGAGCAGTAAATGGTCGATGGGGTGAGGAGGAGGTAGATGGGGGGAGAGTGGTGATGTTCACAAAGCAATTCGAACCCAGCAAGCTGAGGATGACCCGGCGTCTGGCGGAGTGTGGTAGGGACAGCCCGCTCACGGGGGTGGTGGCGGCAGTGATGGCGGTGAGCAGGATACGTGGATGTGAACAGAGGAGACCCCGCTTGCCCTTCTGCAGCCCCTGCCCCAGCCCGCCCTGGTGGTACCTCCTGAAGCTTCTGGTCTTCATGGGTCATGGAGAGCAGCACGGTGCTATTACGCACCACGGGGATCTCCTGCCACAGCGAGCCGCTGGAGGCCATGGAGAGGCGACGCAGGTAGGACTCCGAGGAGACCAGGGCCTTTCGGGGCTGCCGGGGCGACATGGGCCCCGGTGCCTCCGTCAGGCTGTCCAACCGCTGCTGGCTCTGAATCTCCTTGTTCAGAAACACATCACTGTACTCCTGGTAAAGCAGCTGAGCTACAGGGGTGAAGAGGTGCGGGAGAGGGAGAGAATTCGGAGACGGGGAGTTGAGGCTCTGAAACACAAGATCACCAAGCCCTGTGGCTCTCCCGGCATTTCTCCCCACAGACAGCCAAGTCCCACCGCTGATGGCCACAAAACCCTCTCTGGCTCAGGCAAAACACTCATGCAGTCCACAGTCCTGTTTCAAGGTACTCACAGGAGTTGATGAGCTTGGAGCACTGTCTTGAAAAGCTTCCCATCACCTCCTTTGGCTTTTTCTCCCTGTGGGATAAAGAAGGGCTCCATGGTGCTTGCTGGCCATCAGACATGGAAAAGCCCCAAGCGACAATAAATAAGACAATCTCTGACCACTGGGGCACGTGCTGGAATATCACGGCCAAAGCCTCTGAAGAGGCAGGCTGTAGCCTGATGCACTTTGGCATAGTTCGAAGCTTTTATGGATGTCACGTTGAACTTTTACAGCAGGGTTTAGTTCATGGCCAAAGGGTCTAGAGGGATGGCAGTTTGCGATTCAGGTGCAAGAACCATGTAGACGAAAGATCTCCCTACCCTGGAATCCTGGTGTCTGTCCCTTCCCCTCCCTACCCCTGGAAAAGACATGGTCCCAGCACCTTTGTCAGCTAATGAAAATCTCAGTATCCTAGGAAAGAGAGAAAACTGTACCCACTGGGAGAGAGGGTGACTCACCGGAAAACAATGGCATCCGACAGGCCAGGAGATTCTTCTATGGTGGGACCTCTTGTGTCTGAAAATGGAAAATGGGTAAAGTAACTGAGATTTCGAGGGGGCATTCAGACAAAGTCAGAGAACCTAAGACCTAGAGTGGGAGATGTAGGCATGGGAGCGTGGGTTAAAATTTCAACTGGGAGTCGATGAGAAAGGGAAGAGCCCAAGTCGAAAGCATTTGAGGACAATGGTGCCAGGTCTGTCCCCATCCACTGCATCAGAATGTGAACCGGACAAGGAGGAGATGCCTTCTCTGCTAGTGGAAGGGCATCGAGCAAGTGTTTGTAACTGGAAAGTACTCAGGGGTGGCGGTAGCGGGCGCGGGGCAGGGGGGCCTGCAGAACAACGTTGGTAAAAAGAGACGCGCCGTAAAAGTGCACACCACGGTAAAGTGAGAGAGACGGAAGGGGAGAAGAAAGAGCCTTGCCATGAGCTCAGAGACGTCCCAGAGGACTTTCCCCTGCTTGGGGCGGGGTATGTGGGTGGGGGAAGTTAGCAGGGGGACCAGCAGGAGCCTGGAGGACAGAGGACAGATGAGGAGGGGAGAGCCGGGCAGAGTCTGCCCTGAGGCGAGGTCCCCGGGGTCTGGGCTCCGCACTCACCTACGGGGCTCTCGGGGAGAATGGAGGGTCTTCGCAGGCCCTGCCGGTGCCAGTCCTTGTGCTTACTTGATCCCTCACCGGGGACCGCCGCCGCCTCACTGCCGGCCTCCGCCGGCCTTCTCGGGTCCCGTCGATGGGGCCAGCTCGACGCCTTCTCCAGGAGGACGTGGCCCGGCCTCTCCGGCTGCCTCGCCGGGCCTACCTCTGACCTCCTCAGGCCATTGCTTCCTTCCTGCGGGGCTGTTCTTCTCCAAGACCCTCTGGCAGGGGCTTCGGACTCTTCTGAGAGCCCGGGTTCAAAGGTGGGTCGCTGGACCTCTGGAGTCCATGGGGTTGACCCAGGGTGAGTGTCGAAGGATGGCTGTACTGCTTCAGCGTGGGGACCCCCGCAGGGAGATGGCCGTCTCGCTCCACCGTGGAGGGCTGGACGTGCCTCCTCTCTGGGGGAGGCAGGGGTGGAGGTTCATGGATCCTCAGGTCTACGGGGGTGACAGGGGTTGGGGAGGAGCCACAGGCAGGAGACCCGGGGGCAAAGGTCCGGTGCTTCTCGGGGCCCCACGGCTGACTGCTGGGGGCGCTGCCGGCCATGGCTGGATTTGAGGCCGGTTCTCCAAAGTCCTGCCCCAGAGTGGGTGGTGAACTCGAGGCTTCTGGAATAATGGTGCAGTCCCTTACGCTTCTCCTGCCCCTTCTTGGGAGCACAGAGCCATAGATGACAGGTTTGGGGGGCCTCTGTGGCAACTCTGAGTGGGAGGAGGACAGGGATATTCCCACCAGGTGTGGGGCTGCCTCTGTCCCATGAGACCCGGGGAAGGAGTTGCTCCTCACGGGCTGGACCGTTCCGGTGGGGCTGCCCAGGGACCCTGGGGGGCTGGCCTGGCCCGCCAAGGGGAACCCATAGTGGGCCGCTGAGGGGGTCTCAGGAGCCCCACGGGGAGATGGACTGTCGGTCGGGTGAGAGGCTCTGGAGGTTTCTGGAGAACAGGCAAGGACAGAAGGCTCCCTCCTGGGACAGGCAGCCAGGGGATGGGCTGGTGCTGTGGCAGCCGTGCCAGGGGGCCCTTCAGGAGGACTGGGTGCAGCTGCCTCTGGGCTCCTTGGAGGGGTTGCAGAGGGACTGGAGGCAGAGACCACCTCAGCCCCCCCGCTGCATGGAGTCTCCTGCCCCAGCTCAGAGCCCTCCTTCTGGTGGCGATGAGCAGTTTCTGGGTCCGGGGACTCCTCGGCAGGACAGGAACCAGGTAAAGAAAAGGGCTGGTGGGAGCATCCTGTGGGTTCCGGGGCAGGACTCGGAGCCACGGGGGACAGAACCTCAGCTCCAGGCTCTGTCTGAGTCCCCGGGGTCCTGGTCGGGGGAGAAGAGGCCTCTCGAGGCAAGTCACAGGGAGGAGAGACCTCGGGGGCGACCAGAGCCAGGGCAGTGGGACCCTCACGCTCTCCTGGTTCTATGCCGCTCTCCTCTCCTCCTCCCCCGGGTGTGTCCCCCTCCCCGCCCCCTGGTTCCTCCTCTGGTGACCCCACCTCCTCCTCCTGCCCCTCTGGGGCCTTGGCTTCCCGCTGTACACCCGGATCTTCCGGCTTTCCACTTCCTTTCTCTGACTTACTTGCTGAGCTTTGATTCTCCCCATCCTGAGCATCCACTTCATTCTCCTCTGGCCCTGTTGACTCCCTCCCCTTCTGCTCCCCTTGTTCTAGATCCCTGTGGCTCTGAGTCCTCCAGTCCCCCTCCCTATAACTCAGACCCCCCAACTCCTCCCCACGGCGCCGCCCCTCTCTTTCTCCTTGACCTGCGAGCACGACATCATTTTGCATCTGCTGCTGTTTCTGTCTCCCTTCTTCCTCTGCACCTTTAACCTGCTCTCCCATCTGCTCCGGAGCCCCGGAAAGCCCAGCAGAGCCAGCAGCCTCTCCCTGAAGTTCCCCTTCCTCCAGCCCCTCAGTTCCCTGGAGACACACGGGGCTTGGACTTTCCTGCCTGGCAGGTCCACACTCCGAGTCCTCCAGGGGCCGGCAGGGCTCGGCTGGGTGCTCGTCGTCACAGGAAGGCCCGCGTCTGGTCCGGGCACAGGCGTCGGGGGACGTTTCCTCCTTCCCTTCTGCTTGTCCCGTTTCCAATATCAAAGACGTGAGTTCTGGTCTCAAGTCCACCTCCATGCTGCTGCCCAGGTCCCTGGATACCCAGGCCGTGTCTGGACAGTCACCCTGGTCAGGGCAGGCCCGGAGCTCCAGGGAAGCTGGGGTCCTTGCCTGTCCATCTGCCAGGCTCCGGGGCCTGGCCTCCCGGCATGAGGGGGTGTCGTCACAGGCCTCAGCCGTCAGGGTTTCCTGGTCGGTCTCCACCTCTGCAGAGGCTTCATTGAGGAGAGAGCTCATGCTCTCAGCTGCACAGTCATTTACATCCCTCACGCGTCTCTGCTGGGTCTCCAAGAGTGTGCGGCCCTTGGCCCACTGACACCACAGGTCCTCGCCCTCTTCGACTGAAGGCTCCAAGGCAGGGGTCTGGCTGCTCCTCATGGGAGCTGCCTGGATAACTGGGAATTCTGCTCCAGCAGGGATGGGAGTCGAGGCTCCTTGCTGGGGCTCCTCTGCTTCCATCAGCGCTGAATCCTAAAGAGGAATAAGAGACCAAATTTCCACCCCCTCTTCTGCTTTATTTATTTATCCAGAGGGACAGACAATAAACAGGGGCATTTCTTTGGTTCCATTTGCAGTCATTCTTTGAGACAAAGGAGAAGGCAATGGCACCCCCCTCCAGTACTCTTGCCTGGAAAATCCCATGGATGGAGGAGAATGGTAGGCTGCAGTCCATGGGGTCGCTAAGAGTCGGACACGACTAAATGACTTCACTCACTTTGAGACAAAAAGTCTTTCACAAAGTAAGCAATGGCTTCTACAAAATTTATCATTGATTTGTTCATTTAATAAATATTTGCCAGGTCACTCTTTGAAGGTGGGGTATTCGGTAGCCAACAAGGCAAACAAAAACCGTGTCCTCATGGAGCCTGCAGTCTTGTGAAGGAGACGGATGGAAACAATCACGTTAGGGCACAGACCGCTGTCAGAGCTCCCAGCATTCCCCAGGGGTCATTAAGCTCTAGTGGTATGACGTCATGGTCTCCCGTCGACTCTCCGGACACCTAGAGTGACTCAGGCCGTATAACTCCCAGACACTGCGAGTGACACACCCTAGATCTCACAGCCCAGAGGAGCAGTGTCTGGAGGGGAATCCTCCTCCTAAACTGCTGACGGGATTAAAACAGGTCTGCTCATTACGGCCCGTGTCTGAGATACCACAGCACCTATAATCTCCTTTATAGAGGGTCTGAATTTCACTCATCTTATTTTCCAGAGTGTCTAGCAAAGCCTGTGACTAATTAACAACAACAACAAAAATTGTGTTTCAATTACAGAACAGCTGTAGTAAAGTGGAATGATAACTAGACTTAGATGTGAACCAGATGAGATTAGATGAGAGTAGATACAAAGGGTACCCACTTCAATGAGGTCCATCAAACTGGGGACCCCTCACCATCTTACTCTCCCCTTCTCTCTAACATGAACTCATCTCATCACTGGTCACTTTTGACCTTCCCATCTTTCTTTGCTACTTTGCAAAGAATTTACAAACCAATTGGTTTTGTTCTTAGGAATTGCTTCATTTTCTTGCAGTTCAAAGCAACCCACACTTCACTCTGTGCATCTTCACCCTCTGACTATGCCAGAGTATCCTCATCTCTAAGTGCCATCTTTTGTAGCCTGTCTTCTCAGGACCTGATGCAGTGGGTTAGCTCGTTCTCTAGCACCTTCACCTTTGTTGGAACCATCCCACCAGACTTTAAGCATGTTCATGCCTTTCTTCTCTTTCCAACGTACACGTGGAATTCTTCACACATGCTCTCCTCATATCCTTGCATCTCACCTACCTCCAACCAAGCTTTAACAGCACCACTTTGCTCACCTCCCCTACAACCTTCAACTTGTTAACTCTAAACAAGACTCTGTGGATGCTTGTTTTTGGTGGTTCTTGCCAGCATTTGACATTTGACACTTCAGTGGACACTAATTGGACATTACACATACCCTTTCTTGTTATTTGTGAGACTACATTTTTTCCTCTTATGTTTTCCCCAACCCTCTAACTGACTCATTGGAACTGACTCATTGGAAAAGACCCTGATACTGGGAAAGGCTGAAGGCAGGAGGAGAAGGAACGACAGAGGATGAGATAGTTGGATGGCATCAACGACTCTATGAACATGAGTTTGAGTAAGTTCCGGGAGCTGGTGATGGACAGGGAAGCCTGGTGTGCTGTAGTCCATGGGGTCACAAAGAGTTGGACACAACTGAGTCACTGAACTGACTGACTGACTGACTGAACCCTCTAACTGGGTTACTGTGCTCCTCTTTGTAGCATCTATCAACTAGAGTTCACTTTATTTCTCCTTTGTAGCATTTATGCAATTATGTAGTTATGTGTGTATTTTAGTTTATCATCAATCTCAAACAATGAGCTTCACAAGATCAAGAACAATATCTGTTTTGCTCAATTGTCTATACCTAGGACAGTCGACTCACTGGAAAAGACCCTGATGCTGGGAAAGATTGAAGGCAAAATGAGAGTAGGCCATCAGAGGATGAGATGGTTGGATGGCATCACCAACTCAATGGAAATGAACTTGAGCAAACTCCAGGAGATAGTGAATGGCAGGGAGGCCTGGCGAGCTGCAGTCCATGATGAGGTCGCAAGGAGTCAGACATGACTTGGCAACTGAATAACAGGACATAATACCTGGCCCATACTAAGGGCTCAGTAAATATTTTTCCATGATAGAATAAAATTCTTGTTTCTCTCCTAGCTGACATTTCCCATATTTAATCGAGCACTAACTCCTCTGGATCCTTTCTCCTAAATCTCACTCAAGTCTGTGCACTTTACTCCATCTCCACTGCTAGAGTCTAGTCCATGCAGCTGCCCTCTCGTACCCAGGGCACTGCAGCTGGCCACTGGCCTCTACACAGCTTCTCTCGCCCTCTTTCCGAGGCATTTTCTCCTTAGTGCCTGAGGGATCAAAAGCCCCACTTCTGGTTAAATTTCTTCAGTAGTCTCTAACTATTGGGGTGAAACCCAAATATGCATCGTGGGTAACATGCCCTCCACAACCTGGCCTCTTTCTTCCCTCCAGCAGCATCCTTGTCGGTCACCACCTGCCCCATCCCACTGGCTTCCCAAGCCTTCAGCTCTGCTTCCTGTCACCTGTCGGCCTTCACAGGTGTGGCTCTGCTACCTGGGGTCCTCTTCTCCTGCACAGAGGACACTTGACTACTTCTTTCACACTTGGAGTTACGCACGTAGTGTCTATTTTCTGGGCCAGACCATGAGCTTCATGAAAACACAGATGTCGCTATGCTAACTGTTCAATTCCTTCTTCCCGCAGCTTAGCTGGCCCTCAACAAAGATTTACTGCACGGATAAAGGAAGGAAGAACACAGACTTACAAGAATGTTGTCCAACTTTTAGTTCTGCCTTTTTCGTATTTTGCTAATTTTAACATAATTGTAGAAATCATGTAGTTGAACTTTTTTTTCTTATTTTCAGAAAGGGGATAATATATACCATTTGCAAAGAGTTCTAATAAAGTTTAAAGAAGGCAACATAAAAAATGAAGGAAAAAAAAAGGATTGGTAACACTGATGGTAGCAGAAATGTCAGGAATTGAATGTATTTTGGGAGAAAGAAAGTGTAAGAGACAAATATAGGATTTACGAGCACGATGGACTTTTTTTTGGAGACACACAGAAAATTTTGCCTAATCTACAGATGAGGAAACTGAAAGTCAGCTAACCTTCAAGTTTCCTGAGTACAGGTGAACTCAGAACACGGTCTCCTGACTTCAGTCTACCACGAGCAACCGGAAGTCCAACTGTAAGAAAGCTGGCCGGTGACTAGTCTAGAGGAGACCCTGGGGCCATATAGAACTCACCGCTCCACCTGGACTCACCGTCCCTGTCTGGTCTAAGCTTAGAGAGGAAACCCACTACCCCCAGCGCCGGCTGTCTTGCTGAGATATTGCACGTGCATAGACACTCACATAAGCACACACATGCACGCATGCACACACACACAAAACACTAAACCACCCTTGCAGATTCTATGGGGGACAGCCTGACATAACCAAACATGTCCCTAGCCACCCTGCAGCTGTCGCATGTGACAAGCTCCTGGTCACTTCACACAGATACCATCTCTATGGGCTAAAGGGCCATGTCTAACACAAGCATACTGTGTACAAGGGCTTTTATGTCCTTTTCCAGTTAATTGACACAGTGCGTGATTTGCCCCCGACACTCAGCCTAAGTACAAAATACTATAATCACTACGGATGATCCTGCTGTGACGTGACCCTCTTCTCCCAACCGCACATTAAATAATATACTTGCTCACCGTAAACACGTTCTAAAACTTGGCTCCTACCTGCCTAAGGAGACCCTGTGATTAAATCTGTAGTCTTGCCTCCCTGACATGGTATTGTCCCGGTCCTATATCCATACATAGGCTTCCCTGATGGCTTCATGGTAAGGAAACTGCCTACCAGTGCAGGAGACGTGGGTTCGATCCCTGGGTGGGGAAGATCACCTGGACAACCCATTCCAGTATTCTTGCCTGGGAAATCCCATGGAGAGAGGAGCCTGCTGAGCTACAGTCCATGGTGCTGCATAAGAGTCTTAGCGACTAAACGACAACAGACCCAAACACTGTCATGTCCTCAAAACAAGCAGCCTCTAAATACATAAGCGTGTTTCTGCTACATTCAGGTTGTATCTACGGACAGTATGTGCTGCACGAACATCTTCAGTTCCACTCTGGTCACGTAGTGCATGTCGGTCTCCCACTGACATTATTGCTAACACCATCTTTACCCCATTGGCATTACTAGTGGTCAGCGGCTCAGCCCACATATGCCTATTCTTGGTTCTGTGCTATAATCCTATGGGAATCAGGCATTACAAACCAAGAATGTGACAGAGCTAAAGGGAATCTGTAAAACGTGGTTTCATTCACATAAAGCCATCAAGAGAGAGATTTTTTTGCACTTCCCATTATCTTAGAGCCACTGCCTCATGGCTTTCTGCACTGGGGGTGAATGACCATTTTTATCCGAGCCAGGCAAAGACAGAGCATAGCACCACAGTGACCTGGTCTTCCTCCAGGCCAGGGTCATTTTTGCATCTCCTGCCCCTGTTCACATGTGACTTCTTTCAGGACAAAACTCCCAGTCACCCCAATGACAATGTGCAACAGAACTCAGCCTCCCATGTAGAGCCCCCGATACCTTAGCTCTAGTCTATTTCAACTCACCAGACGTGAATTTGTATTTCAAAGATATCCCTCCTCCTCACCTGCACCCCTTATCACACTACTGCTTCTTCAGTCCAACGCCAAGTGCCAAGTGTACTTTTGAAGACCATGCTTCCTGGATTTTCCAGCAGTTTCAAATATCCTGACACCACAAATCACTGAAGTACTCTCGCGATTACAGTACTTTTGCATTTACACTGTGTCATCTATATTCTATTTTAGGAAAATACCCACCAAATCAAAAGGTATGTTCTCATTTTGCTTTCAAAAATAAGACCCATGTATGGATGCCTTTATTCACTGTTTGACATTACTGCCCTCGATGCTACATCAAAATAAAAATAGCTTTCTGGACCACTAACTGCTAAGACCTGTGTCCTACCTATTTGAAGAAGGTAGAATCCCCATCATCGAAGTGAAAAACTGTAATAAACACCTCTATTTCCTCATGTCTAAAAATATCACATCATCCAGTGCTTTGTAGCATTTACACTGTGTCATCTATATTCTATTTTAGGAAAATACCCACCAAATCAAAAGGTATGTTCTCATTTTTCTTTCCAAAATAAGATCCATAGATGGATGCCTTTATTCACTGTTTGACATTACTGCTCTCGATGCTACATCAAAATAAGAGTAGCTTTCTGGACCACCAACTGCTAAGACCTGTGTTCTACATATTTGAGGAAAGCCCCACCATTCAAGTGAAAGCTGTAATAAACACCTCTGTCTATTCCCTAATGTCTGAAAATATCACATCGTTCACTGCTTTGTAGCCCAGTGGGCTTACACAGACCATCACTAGTGGTAATGCCAACACGGAGCCCACAAACCCACCAGTGGCCCTGGTGCTATCCGCAGAGTGTGAGTGACCTGCTGTCCTTAACACAGACCCTGACGGTCACCTTGTTGACATTGTACGTGACCAGCTCCAGTTCACTCCACAGACATGGTGAGTGACTCACCGCTGTCTGCACCAGATGCTGTAAATCATCTGCTTGGGTCTACACCACTTGAGTAACCCCGATCCCGTCCTTGTCCACACCACATTGTGACTGACCGCTCCAGACACCAGGAATGACATATTCCTTGTCTATCCCACAAACACTATGCTTAATGAGGCCGCAGACAACCCCAGACAGACCACATTGTGGGCAGCCATACACTCCAGGAACCCCGAAATGATAAAGACTCTTGACTAAGAACCACTGTATCCTTCTGATAAGAGATTCCTCCTCCCACCTCCTGCCTTCTCTTTCTGCCCCACCAGGACAATGACCTACATTCCTCCTGTGGGACACTCTCATTTGATTGATGCCCCACATCCCCTACCCTCCCCAGCCCCCCAAGAACCCTCTCCATGGACATGGTTCCAGTTTCAGGCCCACAGACTGGTGAACAGATGATCCGCATTTTGCCAGGATCCGGGGTGGGGGGGGGGGTAGAGGGGTGGGGAGCTAAACCAGGAAGTCTGAGCAAGAAGCCACATCAGGAGCTCTTTAGTCAGGGGCTGGGAATTCTGGAGCCGCCAAGGATGCAAGACCCTGGGCAGCAGTAGGGGAACAGAAGGGGACAAAAGATAGAAAAGTCACCCTCCCTCCCTTGTCTGTCGGACACACCCTTCCCCTCAATCTGACAAGAGTCCTGGCCAGAGTTCACGTCTAGGCAGACAGGAGGGCAAATCTGGCTTGGGAACCCCAGATTCAGGAAGGTGAGCACGGGCTTAGATCTGAGAATCGAGGTATGGAGTTGGGAGGGATGCTCAGAATCGGGGCTCAGAAGGGGGTTCTAGCACCCCCGCCCCCACCCCAGCTCTGAACAGCTCCCTTCCTACCTCGCCCGGCTCTGAGGGCAATGCTGGGATCTGCAAGAAGCTGTGGGAGCCCTCCCCGGGTGTGGGGAAACAGGGAGGGGGGCAGGGCGCGAACCCTTGTTTATAGGTTGAGGCACCTCCTCGGCTCCCAGCGAAAAGCTTAGACACACACAGTCGGCGAGTCCACATGCAGATAAGCGAAGGAAGGCCCGGCCCGAGTCGGAAAAAGAAGACAGCAAAACACCTCCAGGGACGGCGTCCGTCCACAAAGGGAATCTCGGCTACACCTTATTACAGGAGCGGGCTTTCCCCAGGGCCTGGACTTGGAAGAAAGAGCCCTGATTACCGGCCCGCGCAACATCTTAGGGGCAGGGTGCCCATTTCCGAGGCGGGGACCAGGCCGGAAGCAAAGTTTTCCAGGCAGGAGCCCTTCCTCCCGCTTCTCTCCCCTCTCCCAGGTCCAGGTGCTCGGGCCCCGCACCCCATCTCCGCCACCTGCCCGGCGCGCTGCCCCCCCACTTTCTGGAGCCCGCGCCCCGGGAGCCAGCGGGGGCTGCTCCCAAGGTGAAGGCCTCGATTCCGGGGCTTCCCGCCCCCTCCCTTCCCCTTCGCCGGGGCGCCACAGCCGCCCGCCCGGAGCCGGGTACCGGGCACCCACCTGGGTCAGTGTCACATGCTGTCCGGGCGCCCCCCCGCGTCCCCTCGGGTCCCCCGCCGGCCGGCCGTCCCCAGCGCAGGCCCCGGCCGCCCCGCCCGGCCGGGAGGGAGGGATCTGGTTCTCCTCGGAAGTTTCAGGTGAGGAAACCAGGGACACACCTTCCTGGGGGAGGGCCGGGGCCGGTCCGCGCCGCGGCCTCATTGGTGTGAAGGCAGGCCCGCGTCAGAGCTGGGAAGTGCCGGCCGGGCCGGGACGGGAGCCCGGGGCCGGGCGGGGAGCCCGGGGCCCGCGGGCCGGCCCGAGGGCGTGGGAGCGGAGAGCGGACCGCGGGGCCTCCCCTGGGCCGGCTAGGTCTCTCAGATCTGCCTGGTGTTTCTTCTCCCGGTGTTTCTCCAGGTCTTTACCTGAGCTGGCCCCAGACCACTTCCCACCCCCTACCTCAGTGATCTTCTTTCTGCTGATGCTCACCTCTTGGCCAGCCTGTGTCTCTTGAGTTTTTCTGTGTTCGTCTGTATTTGAGGCTTTATCATCAGGCCTCAAGGTTAATTTCTCTTCCTTGATGACTACCAGTCTCTTCCTACATGAGGAAGGGTGTATCCGGCTCCTTTTTCACGTCTCTGCCTGCACTCCCGCCCTGCAACCCTCAATCCCCCAGTCCCCCGTCTTTCCCTTTCCTCCTGGCTCTTGACTCCCTAGGAGGCCATCTCTCCCAATGCCAGGCCTCTCCAAAATAGCTTGTCCAGGTCTTCCCTCTTTGTATGATCTGAGTTCACATCTCCCAAGACGTGGGCTCCTTCTGGCTTCTTCCCAGGACAAATATGTGTGTTGGTATGAAAGTATCTAAGCCTATATCTCAGGCCTGTGCATTTTCTCCTGCCTATATTTTTTTCCTCTGATATTTTCAGGGAAACTTTGTGTTGTCTTGGTCTCTGAGACCAAGGTTGAGTGGGTCTATCTTTATGCATCTTCACAGACTTCAGGGAGGGCTTCCTTGGTAGCTAGCTCAGCTGGTCTGTCTGAAATACAGGAGACCTGGGTTCAGTCCCTGGGTTGGGAAGATCCCCTGGAGAAGGGAACTACTACCCGCTCCAGTATTCTGGCCTGGAGAATTCCATGGACTCTATAGTTCATGGGGTTGCAAAGAATCAGACTCAACTGAATGACTTTCACTTTCACAGGCTTCAGGGAACCCATAACATTCTATGGTGTAGTCCCCTATGCAGCTGGTAAGAATCCCTCATGTAGGGGACGGAGATTTTTGGTATGTTCATTTCAATTAAATCATCCTTAACCTCACTCATTACTCCAGGCGTTTCCATGATGAAATAAGTCATGCATGTTAAGTTGCTTCAGTCGTGTCTGACTCCGTGTGACCCCCTGGACTGTAGCCCACCAGGCTCCTCTGTCCATGGAATTCTCCAGGCAAGAATACTGGAGTGGGTTGCCATGCCCTCCTTCAGAGGATCTTCTCCACCCAGGGACTGAACCTGCATCTCCCATGGCTCCTGCATTGGCAGGTGGATTCTTTACCACTAGCATCACTCGAGAAGGTAAGTAGAATCTTAATAGGCTTTCGGACTGTTTTGTTCTTAGGACTGCCATGATCTATAAGCCCAACAGCAAGTTGGTTAGACCATTTCCAGATTACTGTGCCCATTGACTACTGCACTGATCCCAGCTGACCAGGCCGACCAGCATTGGAACAGGCTTTAGGACAGAATGTCACTTGGTCTCTTCTCCAGTAGGGTCTTGATACCTCTCTATATTTAAAGAATGTGCTGCTTTGGCTGTATTACTCTGAGAAGTTAAGCCCTAAGTAGTCCAGAAAGAAGTCTTTAACCTACTCTGAGCTGCTGTGTAAGGTGTGGGTGGACATGGGGAAAACCAGGACTCAGAGTTAAGGTAAGCACAGGCCTCTCACTTGCCATAAGCTCAGCAAGAGGATAAGATTGGGGAGTGCAGTTAGTCCAAAAGTTTAAGCTAGAACTGTCTATTTCTCAACTAGGAGAGAGAATTCAGTCCGGAGTGTGAGCTAGCCCTTGATTTCTAATGGCTGAGCCGAGCCAGTTGGATCCTGGGCAGAAGTGACTGATCTCTGCTGTTTCGTCCTATCTCCTGGGAGTGGGTAGTATGGTCAGAGGTGCTGGGACTGCCTTCTTCTTTTCTTCTTTTTTAATCTTTTGGCTGCACCATGTGGCACATGGGATGTAGGATCTTATTTCCCTAAATGGAGATCAAACTCACACTCACTGCATTGGAAGCACAGAGTCTTATCACTGGACCACCATGGAAGTTCCTGGCACTGCCTTTTTAACCAGCCTGATTATCCTTCCTGCTCCCCTCTGGCTTCCCTTGGTTCCCCTTCTAGCCCTTCATCTTCTCTTAATCTTCTCACCCCTTCATCTTCTCAAGCCTCAGAGATTTGACCTTCTCTTAATCTGCCAACTTCGACCTATCAGCGTTTTTGTTTTTTTTTGTTAAGTCACTACCTTTGAGTCAGTGAGGTCTTTGAGGTCTTGAGGTCATTGAGAGTTAGGCATACAAGGCTTGACCTGACTTTTCACCTAGTAGTTAAGATATAGGAAAGCTGAAAATTACCACTTAGGGAGTTGATTCTCCCCATGGAGCAACCCTGTCTGCAGGGTGTTTGCAATGTGGGAATCGTCCAGCACTCCAGTTTTCTCTTCCCTTCACTTTGCATAGTGTTCTTTTTTTTTTCTTTTCCATGTTCTTGGTGAGTGGGCTTCTTAATAAGGCCTGTCATCCTATTCCAAGATCTTGATATTTTGCTTGGGCCGTTTCCTCTACAAAGGACCAGAGATGAGAGAGAATGATACGGTAGAAAGAGGATGGAATTTAGATTCAGATACGGGTGGATTTGTATCCCACCCTCACCACTTTCTAGTGGTTCAGCAGGTATAGAATCCACCAGCAAAGCAGGAGACACAAGAGACACTGGTTCAGTCTCTGGGCCAAGGAACATCCCCTGGAGAAGGAAATGGCCAGTATTCTTGCCTGAAAATTTCCATGGACAGAAGAGCCTTGTGGGCTACAGTCCAGTGGGTCATAAAGACTCAGACATGACTGAGAACACACAGCACAGCTCACCACTTACTTAATGCAAAAATTTGGCATTATTAACCTTCCTGTGCTTCCACTTTGTCTTTCTAGGCTTCGTTTTACTACTATCTTATGTGGGGAAAGTAATATTTAATAACACCTGCCACCCTAGGTTGTTGTGGTGATTCACTAAGCTAATATATAGAATCACCTTAGTACAAGGGTAGAAGGTGATTGACATGGGCTGGTTTCCTTTCCTAACAGTGCCTGACAGTTATGCACGTTGAATGAATACATTTACAATGAGAAAGCGAAAAGATCTGGGAAAGGTAAACTAATTCAAAAGTAAAGTTATTTTAAAAACTTTTAATATTTTAAAAGGAGAGATGTATTCAGTGGGGGATAAAAAAAGGTTCTGGATTTGGGGAAGGTGGTGCATTTTAACTGGAGTCAGTGCCTTTGAGATCCAGCACGGTGTGGGAAGGACAGAGAACTGTCCTGTGTAGTTCTAGGTTTTGAGAGCAAAGGGATTATTATAGTGACCTTTTGAAGCAGGAACTCATTGGATTTCTCCCCCAGGCTGTCCCTGACCTGACCAGATGTCCTTCCGGTCCCACATTCTGTGGCCCCACGCTCTGTGGCCCCCCCACTTAGTGAAATGACCCTCCGCTCATCCAGGATCTGTTCTTCCTATACTTCTCTGGCCTTTTTGATTCTGCTTTTTACTTGATCCCTGACCCACCTTTGAATGATTTTGAACTCAGTTCTTTTCTTAATTTGACCAATGGTGGTCTCTCCATCTTTCTCCTTTAAATCCACCCTGACTTGACCAGTGTGGTTCTTAACTATCCTGTTCTATTCTGATGAACATGTTTTTCTTTCTCTCCCTTGGTTTCCCTTTATTTCTTTTCTGAAACTTTGCACATTGGCTGTAGCCTAAATGTAATGCTATTCAAGGTATAAGTAGTGATTGCCTACACTTTTTTTCCCCTTCATTTACTTAATATGCATTTTTTTTTAGAACTCAATATACAAAAACCAACTCTCTGCCCCCAAAAGAACTCTCAATCTAATTGAGGAGAAATAAGTAGCAAGTAAGGATGACAGAGTGTAAGGAGTATTATGTTGGGATCTACACAAAGTGTGATGCAGGCATAAAGGAGAGAGTACTGCTTGGAGAGTAGGAAAAAGCTTCATGGATAAGATGATGTTTAAGTTGACTTGTCTTAAAAGTATTCTGTTTCATGGTGGAGAGGAGGAAAGGCATACCAATAGCGGGAATGGAATATGCCAAAATAGAAGCATAAGCCCCAGGGAAGCCCTTTTCACCATGAAGTGTGGTAAAGAAGTAGCAGAGAAGGAAAAGAAAAAAGAAGTGGTAACTGTGTAAGGTGATGAACGTTAATAAGCTGCATTGTGGTGATCATTTCATAATGTGTATGTATATTGAAACATCAAGTTGTGTACCTTAAACATATACAACTTTAATTTGTCCATTATCCTCAATAAAACTGAGCCAAACCCTTTAGAGGAGCCCCATCTCTGGAAGCATAAAGTCCAAATTCAACAGCCTGTATGACCTTCAAGTTCCTTTATGGTTTGACCTCACACTCTCCCTAGGTCTCTAGAGGTTCACAGTTCTTGAAATTTTACCTATACGTATTTTTAGCTTGGGCACATATATCACAGGATAATATTAATATATAGACCTCTGCATCTTATTTGGGCTTCCTCAATGGCTCAGCAGTAAAGAATCCACCTACAATGCAGGAGACACAGGAGATACAGGTTTGATCTCTGAGTTGGGAAGATCCCCTGGAGGAGGGGGATAGCAGAGACATTACTTTGTCAACAAAGATCCATCTAGTCAAGGCTATGGTTTTTCCAATGGTCATGTATGGATGTGAGAGTTGGACTATAAAGAAAGCTGAGCGCCGAAGAATTGATGCTTTTGAACTGTGGTGTTGGAGAAGACTCTTGAGAGTCCCTTGG